CGATCAAATGGGTATACAGTCATGTATATCCAATGTATATGTATATGTACCTCTAATCATGGAACTGCTCTGATATGCCCATTTGAAACCGGGGTAGGGTCAGCTAGAAACATTTTTGACAAATATTTAATTCAAATATTTCTGACGAGAACTTTTCATATTGTTATGTTTTCCAATATTTCACATTATACAGTTGTCAGTCCATTATATTATAATGTGTTCACGCATGGAGGATTTTTTATTTACTTCATTAATTGTCTATTTGTCTATTTTTTTAACAACTTCCCACCCCAAGTTTCCAAATAAGCCAACCCCTTACTATCACGCATGACATTGTGTATTAGACAAATCTGCCCAACTTTGAGTTTGAAATAGTAGTCCAAGGAATTTACTAAGAATGAGGTGCAAGAGATTGTAAACTTGTTGTTACATTTCTTTTGTGTGACATTTCTACAAGACTGGCTACTAGTGTTGTAATACTTTGTAATAATTCATGCAGAGTAGAATTTTTTTTTTTTATCCCAATTGCATTATTTTAGATGCTGAAATTCATTTTTTGAGAAATCCAAGCTAATTGAAATACTGGGATATACATGTATCATTTTTATTTAGTTAGTTTGACTCCCCAGATAACTAGTCTGGTACCCAGATAACAAGACTAGTCTATATCTATGGTCGGTTTGCCCCCCCCCCAATTTTCATATTTCTGTTTATCACGAACATCAGTTAAAAATATGTGTTTTGTAGCTTAAAATAAAAAATTTTAAAAAGTATATGATAGAGAATTTCAGGTTTATGAAAAATCAAAATAAAAGGTAATTTTTTATAAAAAAAAACAGAAAGCAGCTCAAGCATTGATCAGGAAATTGTTTTCTTTTTTTTCATTCTTACATTTATGTATATTTCTTTGTTTTTTATAGGTGAATGATTGGTGAGATTATTGTCATGTCTTTATTTTATATCATGTGTATACCGCACCGAAGTAGAATGTCATCTATCATGATATTGCTGACAGTGCCTCTTATAATAACTCTCTATTTCATATTTATTGTGCATAAACAACTACCAACATTTCTTATGAATGAAATGACCACCCAGCAACGAGAAAAGGTTTCCTACCTACAGAGCATTATTCGCGAAGTTGAACCGTGACATCTCTGATACCGTAGCTGAGCGGGATTACCTGCGACAGAAAATTCAGATGCTGACAAATAATTTGACTCATCAGATTCACGTGATGTCATCAGAGAAACGTGACCAATGGATGGGAAGGTACCTGGTAAGCGAGCAGGCCGAGAATCGTCTCTCAAATGGAGGTCACAATATGTGGGGCTGTCGAGAATTAAAGACTATAGAAATTATTGACAGTGCGATTGGTCAGGGTTTTAGTAAGTTAGTACAAGAAGGGGTATACGGCACAACCCATGTTGCGGTGAAAAGTGCATCACCTGTTGTGAAGAACGTTCAAGATTGTTTGAAGTCAGGAAAATATAAAAAAGAGGAAGACTGTTTTTTACTCTCAAATTATAACATTTTAAAAGAAGCGCTTATGTTGCACGAACTAAAGCATCCAAATATTGGGAAATTGCTAGGCTTGTGTGTAAAAAGTGAAAAACCGAGCCCGTCTATTCATCTACGTGGTGTCACGTCAGTTCAGGAATTGGGAAGACCAGTGGAATGTAATTGGTTGAAAAAGTTGCCATGGATAAAAAGGTTCAAGGTAAGACCACAAAAAACTGTCTACATCTCCAAGATATTTGAACTTATCACCTACAGCCCCTTCATTCTTTCCTAATTGGACCTTAGGGGCGTAATTAATTTTGGAGGTTGCTGAATTATTAGAAAGTTATTAAAATTAAAATAATGTTTTAGTGAATAAATCTATGGTAATATACTGTAAAACATGTTGAAAAAGCGATGCAATTTCAGCGAATTGTGGTAAAATGACGTAATAGCGAAATGTTGATTTAGCGAATCTTTTTTGTCATTGTTGATTTCCTGTTTTCACAATACTTGTCTGTCGCTTGCCAAAACAAATGCACAGTTATCACCTCCATAAAAAAGAAAAACTGTCAAGTGTAATAGGAAGCGCCCCAGATTTGTATGTCCCAGATTACTGTATACAAATCCCCAAGCCTTGGCTATTTTGAATTTATAATAAGAGTCATTAGCGACATCTTGAATTAGCGAATCAGTTCTCGCTAAACTCGCTAAAAAAGACATGCTTGCGAAAAAGACATGTTTTAAAGTACCATGATTGTAAATACCAATAGAGGTTAGTGAGAAAAACAGAAAGACTCAAGGGTGTAATTACTTAATATCTTATCAATAACAATAAACATCAAGGTAGATATCATCTGAAAGTTAACATTTTCTACTACTGTATTTGCTCTATTAGTAGCATCAGTGCTTATGTAACTGTAGCAGAGGTGGTCAAACTAGATCATATTTTAATAAGCCAATATACTATAAATGCAAGATTTGGCTTATTTGTACTTCTGTAAGAGATGCTCTTTTGAAATTTAATATCTAGCAAATGAAGTAATCAGGTGGTCCAGCATTACATCAGTCATCTTTTCAGACAAAATCCCATTCAATAGAAATTTTTTAATTTCAATTCAAGCAGTTGTTATTCAAGTTCTACTGGTAGAACACTTTTAATCCTGCAACAATTATAGTTTATTTGAAATTATTGATATTGGGACAACAAGAATACATTACTACCAGAAAGTGTGAGGATATGTGACGTTCAGAGGTCATGTAGAAGGCAAATTGACAACCGACGTCCAATATAATTGGAGTTGAGGCTAGAATTTTTATTTAATGATGAAATAAATAAATGTCGAAGCCAAGTCTTTTTCGACTTTATACACAGCTTATATCAATAAAATTATTAGCATCTGGCAACAGATTGATTGTCTGAGTTTGGCGATGAGTTGTTGTCGTGCTATTGGTCAGAATGCGGTTCACGAAATGAATCATTTATCAGTATCATTCCTCTTACAGATTTGTCAATCTATTGCAAGTTTACTGGAATACCTGGCAAACTCACCACTGGGAAGTTTACAGATAGTGGATTTCAAATACCAACAGTTTGTTATGATTGATAATGTTATTAAATTGATTGATTTGGACGACGTATCAAGTGTAGAACCTGAGTGCAATGATATGCCGTGTGTTATAGAAGGAAAACAGAATATGGCGGGTAAGTGTAAATACAGATTTGTCCTGAGTTCCATGCAGTATATAGGAGAGAATTTATATTGATCCGAAAAATATGCAAATTAGTATAAAATGTTGACGTATGGACAATACTTTTGACGTGTAGTGTATGTGTACACTGTTTTTATTTACATGTAAACATGTCCTCCACTGATATATGAATAATTTACGTTTGTTTATTTTGCAGGTATCGTGTGTCGCGATTTTCACTGCCAAGGAATGAATACAGCCCGCAACCTCATTCAAGCATATAAATTATTTTTCAATCCATTATTACCGGGTGATGTGCCTGCAAAGTTACACAGCCTTGTCAGCAGATTACTAGCGGACATTGAAAATATGAATATTAATACACGGGAACTTGTTAAGAGTTTGCAGCTCGTAGAAAAACAGTGGTTTTTATTAAAAAATTAATTCTGTGATTCAGATTTTTAAATATTTTTAAAGTAGTCTAAATGATTTAATGAATGAACCAAAAATATTGCTTTGTATTGTCATATAGGCAATGTCATTGTAAACATTGACTTTGGGGAACTTTGGTTGAGGTCTGCTGGTGCTTGTGTTTGACTGGACCTAGTTGATGCTGGGATAGCACGAACAATTGCTACAATGCTATGATGATGGGAGGAAGATGGTCATGCAGTCCTGTTACATACAATGTACATTTGTACAAGCAACCATTGGACAATTATATGAAAAATACCATTCTAATAATATGGCGCCTATCTTGGATTATGCAAATAAAGTGTATTTATGCAAATATGGAGTGTTGAGATGGTTGCTTGATTAGTTTTAGGGATGTTGCTTCTCAAATCCCTAAACAAAATTTATTTATAGAGGTACATGTATCATGGCGGCCATTTTAGATTTATGCAAATTAGCAGGCAGACATATCATCATGCAGATTTCACAAATCCATTAAAATATTTTGTATTGACTTAAATTGAGGATAGCAACCATGCCTGCCAGACTATACAACAAAGCACAGAATAAAGCATTTGATTACCCTTCCGCTAACGGCAACCGGGCAAAATAATTTGTGAATTTATTTTGTGTTTTTTGCAGATTGGCGTGATATAGGTTTTCAATTGTAACGAGAATGAATGCTGAGTATGGTTTATAAGATGCTGAATATATGTGTAGCTGTTGTGGTTACTATGATTGCTCGATTTATCTTGCTCAATTTTATTACAATTTGTGTCTCCACTTCACCTTCCAAATTAAAAAGCTATAAGTACAAAAATGCTTTACACAAAAATTATTAATCTACATATACCCAAACCCAAACAGGTTATTACTAATTAGCCATGTGAACAAAATTGTTACACTGGTATCCTTAAAAAAAAAGTGCTGATTATTTTCCGGATAGAGAAAAAAGCCCAAATGTGGAGTTACATGAATAAACACATCGCCATGACAATCTGTCACATGACCAAGAGTGATATAACAACATAAACACAACACTCATGATCAAAATTTTCCTTGCAGGGTTGGTAGGGGGGGGGTATATATATAGTGGTCATAAGCATCAATTCAATTGTACATTCATACAGAGTTGTATCAGGAGCACTTTTGCAAACAGAGATATTCACACAGTGTTATAGTGGTCATGTGACCACATTAAAAATTATATTATATCTGGAGCACTTTTGCAGATATTCAACCAGTGTTTTGTTTTTGAAGACATTGGCCTCATTATCTGATCAACATATTTAATAACTGTATATGGTCATGTGACCTCATTAAAAATGCATAACTGTTAGCTGAAGCACTATTGCAGATAGAGACATTCAAACAGTGCTTTATTGAATATGATTTGATCAACAATGAATGTGACCTCATTAAAAATGCATAACTATAATCTAGATTCAGATATAGACATTTACCATGTAACCATAGGGTCGATGATATAACTAAAGCTTGTCGGAAAATTGAGCTTGATAACGACAATGGAGGATGGAATTGGAAAGGGGCTTATTTAGGATTCTGACTGAGAATTAGCCAGCCAATGAGATTGTTTTGATTTCAACCAATCAGCTCGTTTATCTTTTTGCCAATCATGTACAAGGCCATATCCATTGTAACTAGTCAAGTACAAGGCCAATATTTACTTTGAGTATATAAATAGGAGACGAAACGTCTCTTTTTCAGTTCGTTCAATAAAGTCATCTCTTGCAGTCCATACGCCGTTTATTCTTCCATTCCTGAACTTGAACCTATTCTTCTTAACAATTCCCACAGTTCTTTATTGTGGACATTTGGCACACGATCTGGTTGACATATTCAATGACCATTTTTGGTGAATTCCCGCGCGTGCGCAGGTAACGACCCTCCCGCTTTAATACAAACAAGTTAGTTAGATTGTTTCCACTGATTATATGAGGTAGGTGGTAACTCAATGCATCGCGTCTAAATTAAACGGTAAATCCTTACAAATAGCTACCGTAAACAATTACTCATAAAAAGAGGATTCATGGCTTAAGTATTTGGTCATAATAAATTTCACTGTTACATAGTGTAAATATCCTGGATGATAAATTACAAATAACCCACTTCTCATATTAAAATCCATTAAAGTTAAGTATTACAAGACATCCAAGGTTCCTTGGGATTTAAATTAATATCAAATTCCATTATGACAACGAGTGAGTGTGCCTGGAGATGTTAGTGACGCATCTACCATACATTGCTGAGACAAGAGCTAACCCATTAGTTGCATAAGAAATATTTTTCCTGGTCTCTAATATTTCTGGTCCAAAATGCAAATATTTT